ATAAACAGTAGCATAGTAGTAGGAAGATTTTAGGGATTTTCTTCATAAGAATAAAGTTGTCATTCAAATATTCAATTTTCAACTATGTGAGACAGATAATCTCTTTATAAATCAGTCACTCTTCCATATTTTAGGTATACACCTACAAAACCCTAAAAAACTTCTGATAAGAGTTACCACCACCTAAACACATTCCAATTGAAACTTGTTTTTTCTGAAAAATCTTGTTCATTCCCCTCTATTTCTTATCCGTAACAGGCATCATTATCTTCCTATTATTATGGAGCTTCTTCTAACTCTACAATTTACTTATACATTCAATAAGTCACCATGTCCATCATTTTTCTTTCAAGGTGGTGCTTACCTTGAGTTAGCTTTTATATTTATAAAAACCTTGTAAGTAGTCTATCTTACATGCATAGAATTTTACCTTTTCAGACATCACAGTTATCTTTCTAACATGCAACCTTCCAAAGTTTGCTCCCAACTTGATTTTATAATGTGTTTATTACTCTTTGCATAAGTCAAAGTAAATTTCTTGCTTTTCCAGATCATATCAAATTTTTTTATTATTCAAGTCTTTTTTCATATCTTTCTCTCTGCTCAGAAATTGCCTTTTCTATTGTCTGATGAATTCTTACATACATCTGTTTAATCTCTTTTAATGATTTTCTAAAGCCTACATAACATGTTGCAAGTTCTATCATGCAGTATTAAAACTACTTAGTCAATTATTTTCAAAATTATGTATTATTCAGCAGTATCATTTTGTTTTTAAAGATGCCTTACATAGAACCATATACATATATGTATGCCCCCAAACATATATGTGTATAATATACACATATTTTATTAACATTAATTGATTTTATAAGTACAAATTAATAAAGTTTCTTTTTTTTTCTTTTTCTTTTGAATTGAAGTCTCACTCTGTTGCCTAGGCTGGAGTGCAGTGACACGCACACAACCACCGCAGTCTTGACTTGCTAGGCTTAGGAAATCCTTCTTCTAAAGTTGACTTTTATTAAGTCAATCAGCAAGAGGACTGACATAGCCTGTTTGAAACTTATGATTATGAATGACAGATATAGTCTGATATTTGCTTTTTGATTTAATAGTACTTTAAAAATTAAATAGCATTTAGAAATTACTGCTCTTATACATGTAGTATTAAATTATAGATTGTTATTAATAATTTTGCAAATTCAGACAAATTTGACAACAAATAGAAATGGTAGAAAAAGATTAACCTAAGTGATGCTTAGAAACAAATGAGGAACAGAAGTTAACAATGGACTTCATTGTGTTCAAATTTACTATATAACACGCTTGAATTTACTTTTAAAAATATTTTATTCCAGAATAGATTTAGATCTATAAAGAGATTTTGAAGGGAGTACGGAATACCCAGACACCCTATATTTAACTTCCCCCTGTTATTAATGTCTTACATTGATATGGTACATTTGCTACTACTAAATGGACTGATATTGATACATTATTAACTAAAGTCCATACTTTATTCAGATTTCCTTGGATTTTACTTTCTGTGCTGTTTTTAAATTTTAAAAGAATTAAAATATGTCATTAAAATTAAAATAAAATAGAATGATCAGAACACCTCCCTGGATTCTTTGATTTTCTTTGGAATATAGCAAAAAATAAGTACTCTTTCTCTTTTGGTTTCATCTATTTATTGTCTGTCACTCTAAGTCATCCCCTGTTTTTCAAATTATGTTTCTTAATAAAGAATTACTTCATTTTAATTCCCTAAATGAATTGTACTGTTTAATGCTCCAGTCTATACTGGTTCTCTGGAGGGTCTCTCTCTCCTTATCCAGATAGTGGATTTTGATCAAGCCCCTGAAACTTGTGATTTCATTTCTATCGCTGCTTATAATCAGTTTATAGTGGTTTTGATATTAACTGCTTTCATCAAACTGAATACTCAAATTTCCATTGTATTTTGATTGATTTATCACTCATTTCTCTTTTGATTAAAAATTAATAAAATTTCCTTTTGATAGAGATGACATATAGAATTTGAGAAAATTGCATATTTAACCAGAGAAAGATTTTATGAAATTTAATAGAGCAAGGTCTTTCTCAAAGTATGTGTATGTTTGTATGTGTGTGTGTGTGTGTATAGGATCCTTCTCTTTAAAAAAAAGTACACACACACACATATATATATTTGTGTATATATAATCTATATATTTGTTTCCCCTAGAATCAAGTCAATAGAAATAAGCTGAATTTAATCACTGCAACCAAAACGTTTTTCAGGTGATAATTTTAAACTTTATAATTTAATGTTATAATAAGCATTACAATAAAAAATAATTGGACTTTTTGAGTAAAATAATACTATTAACATATTTTTCTGTAAGTTCAATGTATTTAGCACTTTGATCGAAAGATGATAATAATGTCCAAGTAGGTCACTGCTGATTTTTTTTAACATTATTTCCTCTTGATTTAAATTGCTGATAGTTTACAACTCTTTAATGTTTTCTATAGTAGAAAAAAGAGAGTAGCAGATTTAATTTTTCCATTTAGTCTTGACTACTTGTAAAGAAGAATGATTATAAAATGTCAGGTGAGAATTTTCTGTTGGACTAAATATCCTGCTAAATCTTTCTATGCTCTGAATGGGTAATGAAAGAATGATGAAATGATTATGTATCAGTTTACCAAGTTAAAGATATCCAGTTTCTATAATACTGTCAATTAAAATTTTAGCCTTCTAACTGATGGCCATCAGTGTGGAGACCGGAAACAGAAAATGCTTACTAAATTTGTTAGTAATTTTTATTTCTTATAGTAGCTAAAATCATTGACATTAGTGTAGTGTTTAGGATTTATTAGTTTCTTATTTATCATCTCACTTAATCCTAACAGGAATCTATTTCTATTGGTGCTAAAAACATTTTCTCCATTGACAGTTGAAGAAGCTGAAAGTCAGTGATTAGGAAGCTTAACTAAGATTATACAACCATTTATGTTGCAGAAAGGAACTAAAACTTAAATCTCAATGGAACTCTAGACTAACTTTTTTTCTAGAAAGAAATCCAGTTATATTATTTAAGCACTTCATATTTTCCAGGTGATGTTCTGGGTTTGGAAATTCACAGTTGAAAAGTTATTTGATTCCTTTTAAAAAATAGTCAACTAAAAACAAAAGTAAATTATACTCCTTTATTTTTCTTTTTGTTTTCTGCTCTGGCTGGTGAAGAGATTAAAGGGCATGTTGAATACAGAGGAGATTTTTAAAAATAACAAGTTTTGAATACATAAATGATGGAGGAATGTTTTGCACAAGTTGTTGTAATTAATCTATTAAGAACAGATCCAGATCTGAACTAAGACAGCGACAGCAAGTAAGTGAGGATGGGACAGGTTTGACACACACTTGGCAAGAATTTTAGCAACAAACAAGAAATTATTGGATACTGGAAAGAAGAAAAGTAAGTACAGTAATGGAGCAAAGTTTAATTTACTATCCCCCCAAGTGGGGAGGGATAGTAGCATTAGAATGAAATAAGGAGGAAGGAGTAACACGTTATATTGTTGTCCTCACAAACTTTCTTACCTATTCCTCATTCTCATTAATTACATCCTTACCTAAGTTTAAGCCTTGATTTATCTATCTATATTTTCTTTCTCTGAGTCAATATTACAAGTCAGAGGCAGACAATTATTTTTATTAGAAGAGGGAAAGTTTCAGGGATAGTCTGCAGAAAGAATTTTTATATCAGTAAATTCAGGAGGATGTGAACAGGTTACTAAGACATTATAGAGAGTTGGACAACTAAGGAGGAGAAAACAAACAAACAAACAAAAAACAAGAAAGGAGAACAGACAAGAAAAGTTGTTGTTGCATTAAGTGGAACGCAATGTTTGAAGCTGAATTGCAAATACGCCATTCCCAGCTACCCTAAAAACCAGAACCGTTTCTTGCAGCAGACACCTTAGAGTGTGAAACCCACTGGCAATGCTCTGAACAGTAGTTCAAGTAGACTGACTATGCTCATCTTGGAATGGTCTGGGGGAAGCAGTGGGATGTGTTATGTTTCAAAGACTAATGTAAGGAACAGGAAAAGTTTGAGGTGCCAAGAAGAGGTGTGGGTTTGAGGAAGTGTGTGGATATTTGGTAACAATAAAGTGCTTTTACAGCAGATTCTGTTCAATATGGAGAAGAATAAATTCTGTGATTGCTTAGTTCTATTACCCACTCAGTTTTTCTCTCTAACAGAAATTGTGGACTAAAAAAAAGAGAAATGTTTACCTAACCCTAACCCTAACCCTAACCCTAACCCTAACGTTAACCCTAACCCTCACCCTAACCCTCATCTGCTGCTTTATGTGAATTGACCTTTAAAGAGCAACAATCTAGAAAGCCTGCCAGCCTGTGCTTTATTATGGCGTTGAGGAATCAACTGAAAATCCAATGTTTGTCCTCACCCTCCATCTCACACACAAAGCTCCACTTTAAATGCACACTGGATTCCTAACTTTTCTATAAAATTCTGCTTTAAATATAGATGAATGATGTGAAATACACACTGAAGCATTTATTTAAAAATTTATTAAAACTATCTTAATGAAGTTTTCCTGAATGTCCATCAAAATAATTACTTTAAATTTTAAATTACTGAACAATAAGTATAACACGAATAATTTGTTAATCACGGACTTACCAAAACAGAGAGTTTCATTCAAAAAATCAGAAAAATGGAAAAAATTGGAGCTGCCAGCTAGTATACAGAAATAATTAATATTTCATCCACAATAAGTAATTTTTAACAAAATGAGAATATTTAAATTTTTTTCATTAGTTGACTATTCTATTATTTAGTTTCTCCTATTCATCAGAAGAGCAAAATACTATAAATTACCACTCAGACAAAACTTTTATAACATCTTGTTTTGTATGATTACATGAATACATTTCTAGTTTTCTATTAAGGAATTAAATATTTTGTGAAAATATCACAAACCTCTGTGGGAAAGCAGTTTGTCAAATGATTCACCCCATTTCATTGCTTCTTCAGGGGAGACTCTGTTTAAGAGACAAAATATTTTATAATGGAGTATGCAAAAAGTATGTTTCTAAATCTCTTCTAACACTTGAAATTTTACTGCTTTTTCAATTATATTTCACAGGGTTTCTTCTTTAATTATAATAAAGGTTGTACTTATATTAGAAATATAAAAATATTGTGCAGTTTTCTTTTGGAATTTGTATATTAAATAATATGTTAAAATAACATTAATTATTTTCTCATGAGTGTGGGAATTGTTTTAACTTTTAAAAAATAATCATTTGTTTGGGTAAAAGGCCAAAAACAAATATAAAAAAAAAAAAACAGGTCAACTATCTTCTTCAATTCAGCAAATAATAGAACTTCAATTGACAGTATCTTTTGGTCAAAAAAAAAATTTTTTTTTTTCTGCAATTTCCTTGAAGCTCTAACCACAGTGTGCTGCAAACTATTTTTTTTTAAGAGATACAGGAAGTTTGACTAATGAAGTTTCAAAGAGATAATAAGCATAAGGCAAGAAATATGTTAGAGATGCCGACAACAGAGAGTTGAATATATTTTCTTGATCTTTTATTGGTCATATTCAAATTTGGAAGAATTTATATTAGCTCTAAGGCTATTTCATTATCTTCATAGATTTTTTGAATTAAAAATCCTAAAAATAACAAAACATCCTTTACTTGTGGTTTATTCGCTATTATACCTGTGGAATTTTTTCAAACTACTGAAGAAAGAGACAAATAGCTCTTCACTATGACAGTACTGCATTGTGAAAACTCAAATTAGTGGATATTTTATCAGGTTATAATACATCATTTGAAATTGATAGGTATGTAATTTTAAAAGAGCACCCTTAAAAGCTCATATGATTATTTTATTCAAGCTATTAAAGTGGTATAATTTGATGAATTATTTCTAGTTTCTTGAATTGAGATATACAACTTTCCTCATATTACTGTGTAATTTCCAATAAATAAAATTCCTCATTTCCTTTTCCTTAAATTTTTGATGTTAGAATCAGTAAAATCTTTCCCAAAATAATAAAAAAGTTATTCACCTTGTTTCTTTGGCCAGGTGCCCAGATCTACTGGAGTTGGTCTCTTCATGAAACTCAGCTTTCTGCACCAGAAGACTTAGCCTATTTCTTTTTTCCTTAGCTCTGTAATAAAATGGCATTAGCTTCAGAACAATTTAGATGACAGTGAAAAATCTCTCCTACTGACTGCCAAACAAGTTTGGAATTGGTCAATACCCACACCCACACATACATACCTACAACCCTCCATCCACATTCACAAATACTATATTTGTGGAGGAATTAGGATAGTATATGTGAAATACCCTTCTCTTTTTTTTCGAGTGACAATAAAGTATTTGAGATTATATTTCATCAAAGCCTGTATTAGTCCTCTGTGTGTCTAAAATTATTATAGTTTCTTTTTACTGAAAGCACTTTAGTTGTAACATTTGTTTAATCCTGATAAATAAAAAGACTTTCCCCCAATTGCAATAGTACAATCAACAAATTTTTAACCAGGTATTTCAAAAACAAGTGCTAACAAATATTTAACTTCAATTATATTTTTAAAAGTATAAGGCTGACTTAAAATTTTACAATTTTACCTGATTTTGGCTTCTTTGCTTGTTTCTTCCTTTGCTGAACCATGTATTAACTTGAAAAAAGTTTTTTCTTTTGATTCACACATATTTAATTGAGGAAAAAAAGCCAATGATGTTTCCATCTTTTCTCTCTCTAAAATAAAGAGATATCTAACTTGCTACATTCTTCTCTAGTTTACTTGTTAATGCTATTCCATAGTTACACACGGTCAAATAAAAAGTTATCTCAACTCTTTTAGCAATACCTACAAACAAAATAAGCAAAACACTCAAGAGCTGTGTTTCCACCTCTGCAAAAATGTAGAACTGAGGAACTGAAGTACAATTCTGTTCTGAGTTGTTTAGGGAAATGATACTACAAATTTGCAAAGTGACTTTGGTCTCCAAGATAAAGACTAGTATTACCACAGTGCAACTTCTCTTTTAAGTTTGTGTAACCAGAATTATGTTTTAATAGACCCAAATGACAGTCATTTCCCACAGGAACTTTTAAAAAGTTTATTATATGTAGTATGTTAAAATGTGTTGTGGCAAAGTATTAATTACATCAAACACTAGGAGATATATTCCCTGTTCTTAATGAAGTATTTTTCCTTATTTTTATTATGTTAAGTGAAACACATTCAACTGACATGCTAAGTAATGTTACTTGTTAATTACATTTGCTTAACATATTGTATCTAAATAAGACTATACATCAAAGTTTTATGGGTGAAAAGGATAATAGAAAGCATTTAATTAAATATTTTTAAAAGCACAGGTACATATACTACTTTGGGTATTTTAAAAATTTTTCATCAGTCCATGGTGAAATATAACATTAAAAGGTTTCTTAAAGCTATATTTTAATTTTTTAATATAAAGGGCTTTGCTGTTTTGCATTTGCCCTTCTGACTCTTATTGTTAAAATATTCCTTTTAATGAAATGGTTTAAGCAGAGATGGCAGTTTGTATGTTTGTTTGATGTCCTTTTTCAAAAAGATATGTTACAACTCCAAATTGGTTTAGCCCCCAATTCTTTCACTGTTTTATGAAACCCAAAAAACTTAGAAATGCTAATCTAGGCAATAATTCACATTTTATAAAAAATAAATAAATAAACCAAGAGTCACAGATATTAAGTAACTTAATCTTGCAAAGTCCCAGAGAGGTCAGGGGAAGATCTGGAATTATCAGAGCCTTTGATCATCAGTAGTATGTGCTTTAGCCTTTCCAAGAGTCTTTGATCTCCTGTAGTGAATCCTTTAATTAATCTAAATTGTATATGCTAAAAGCCAAGTTATACAAATCCAAAAGAAAATTTATTTTATTTTTGGTCTTTCAAATTATTGATTTACCATGATAATAGTTACCAGGGACACCAGCTAGGAACTCAAAATATTTGCTGATCTGAAATTAAATACATAGTTTATATTTATACATACAATGCCTGATTCTATGATTTTTATTTTGAATATTTTAAAAAATCCTCACCTTGGCTGACAATTTACTGTTAAAAGTATTATTTATAGGGGCATTTTATGAGAAGCTTAAGTTTGAACTGAATGCTAATAACGCAGATTATTCTTCCAGTTGATACTCTCTAGTATTTGTTAGTATCCACTATGTTTATATCAGGTTTAATTCTGTACAGGTGAATGAGTACAAGACAAAATCATAGGAGCATGGATATCATCCAATTCCTGAGACTGTAATTGAACCACAATATCCAGAAGAATGAGAGACATAAACTTTCTGAATTATCTTTTCATAAGATCTGTTGAAATTGTATGTAATGTTTGCTATCTACAAACTGATAAAACTATGGAGATAGAAATTTGAGCATATGAGCATGAGTAAACTACAGGCCTGTGTAAAGGTCTGAAACAGAACTGGGAAAGAGAGGTGTGATTCTACTCTGTGTATATGGACAGGTGGGAGCTGGAGCCAGAGAGGAAAAATGGTGTATTCATAATGGTGACTTCAGATAAAATTAATTCTCTTGGGCACAGTCAATTATCATATATTAATGACAGCCTTTTTATTTACCCACATTTGCCTTTACCAACCCTCTTCATTCTTTTGTGTACATATGAATTTCCATCCTATGTTATTTTCTTTGAGCTTAAAGACTTTTATTCAACATTTTCTGTCATGAAGGTCTGCTGACAACAAATTTGGTCAGCTTTTGATCTGAAAATATTTTCTTTTTGTGTATATTGAAGAATGGCTATATCAAACTGTTGAACTTATGTATTACTTCACATAATTGTTTTGTGGTGACTTTTTTTTTTATTTTTACCTATGACTACTTTTCTGATTTTGAATCCACTTTAAAAATTTGATTAAGATATAAACAGTGTTTGTTTTACTTGGCGTTTGCTGGACTTCTTGGACTTGTGTAAGTTTGTAGTTTTCATCAAAGTTGGAAACTTTTAATCACTAATTTAAATATTTAATACATATTTAAAATGTATAATCTTAATTTTCAAATATATGAAATAAAAAGAAAACAGTTTTTTCACCTCTGTCTTCAAATGGAGGATGTTTTCACAGGATAGGATTCTAGGCTGATTTTTTTTTCTTTTTTCTTTAGCACAAAATATGATTCAATTTTAACTTCCATTACTTCTTATGATAAGTCATTGCTGATTTTTATAATCTGATCACTTAGAAATTTCTCTATTTTTTCAGTCTTTTTTCTTTGTTTCTTATGGTACACAGTTTCTATTGCTATATGTTCCGGGGTTCTTTCTTTTTTTTTCTTTTGTAATGCCTAACCTTCTGTTATGCTCATCTAGTACATTTTTAATTTCAGCTTCAGAACCTACATTTTTTTCAATAATTTACACTTTTCTCAACATGTTTTTGTTTTCTTTCTATTTAAGTGTTTAAACAGATTAAATACTTTGAAGGTTTTTTTCAGAAAATTTATCTCTGTGACTCTGGGTATGCTCTTATTGACTGATTTTCCTTTTGATGATGACACATTCTCCTGCCTCTTCAGATGTCTAGTTATTTTTTATTGAATGCTGGGCATTTTGATTTTATGATGTTAAATATTAACATTTTTGAAAGTCTTTATTTAACAATGATAAAGTTAGTCTTGGCCAATTAGCAATCATTTGTGTATCAGCTTTGTCTTTAAAGACTTGTATGTAAATTTTGTTATAGTTGGTCTAGTGTAGCTTTAAATACTAATATATGATGATTCTTATATTTTCAATAAATTCCCAGGGGTTTCTCTCTCTCTCTCTCTCTCTCTCTTTGACTTGGAATCTTACTCTGTCACCCAGGCTGTAGTGTAGTGGCACATTCATGGTCACCGCAGCCTCGACCTACTGAATTCAGGTGATCTTTTTTTTTTTTTTTTTTTTGAGTTGGAGTCTCACTCTGTTGCTCAGACTGGAGTGCAGTGGCTGCTCCTGGCCACCACAGCCTCACCTGCTGGCTCTGGCTATCCTTCCGCCTCAGCCTTCCGAGTAGCTGGAACTACAGGTGCGTGCTACCACGCCCGGCTAATTTTTTGATTTATTGTAGAGATGAGGTCTCGCCAAGTTGCCCAGGTGGGTCTCAAACCCGCAGGCTCAGGCAATCCACTCACCTCAGCCTCCCAAAGGCACGGGATTACAGGCTGAGCCACCAAGCCCGGCTTCAGGTGATCCTTCTACCTCAGTCTTCCAAGTAGCTGGATCTACAGGCGCATGCACCACACCTGGTTAATTTTTTGATTTATTGTAGAGATGAGGTCTTGCCAAGTTTCCCAGGCTGGTCTCGAACCCATAGGCTCAGGCAATCCTCTCACCCTGGCCTCCCAAAGTGATGGGATTATAGATGTGAGCCACTGTACTCAAGGGTTTTCAATAAAGCTTTTCTAGTCTGTATGATAAGAACTTGAAAGTCAATCAACTCTGTATGAGCTTTGTAAATTAATTTACATTCCATGGTAGATATCCTTTCTTGGCACTCATGTATTTTTATCCTGCAGTTGAGTTGCTTGGTATTTAGCCAGACTCAAAGATATTCTTGTATAATATGTTTGGACTTTTCCAGTATTTTGTCTTATAAATTCAGTCCTCTCACTTTCATTGAACGCAGATTACTGTTTCCTCAACTCAAATGAGTACTTTTTTCTCTATTTAAGGAGTACCTCTGTAAACTTCTCAGTTTTTAAATGATATTTGTGTTCCTTTTATGCACTGCTGCATTTAAAGAAAACTATGGAAGCTGTAGGGCTCACCTTATCCAATTCTCTTTCATTAAGGACCACAGTTCTGTACTGCCTATTTTTAGTATCTGAAAATTTTTACTATATATGTAAATATGTATATATCTGTAAATATATATCTCATTTTGAAGCTGTTTATGGAAAGAAAGGATAAATTGTATCAGCTAATTCATCATGATCTTGGCCATCTTTAAATATATATGTGTGTGTATATATATACTTTTTATATATGAATATTATACCTTATTGTTAAATTCTATTATTATTATTATTGCTAAAAATAATTAACATGCAGATGTTGTGGAGAATAGTTTAAAAGCTATTCAGTTTTGAAATCTGGTCAAGAGTATCAACATAAACTTAGGAAGTTGTTATTGGATTGGTCATTATTTCTAGTCTTTATGGTGGACATTACTGGGATGGTATATATATATATATATATATATATATATATATATATCATATATACACACACACACACACACACACACACACATATATATTTATATACATATGTTTGTATATATATTTCATTCCTGTAAATGTTTCCTACTTCTTTTTACTATAAAGACCTAGAAACAATGACTAATACAGTAGCAATGAGACCTAGATTTTGATCTTGAAATGTCACTTCTTACTCCAAGTAGATTAGGTTTAGTATTGATATCTCTGATTCCAGATTTCAGATAGGAAATATGCAAACCTTGCTTAGCAAATGTTGTCATATCATTTAAGAAATAAGCTATCAAAGACTAATGAAGTCAATTTAAAATTATTCGAGTCAAATTTGTGAGATTTCCATCTATCACAATAAGACAATTTCACCTTCAATAATTCTAATAATTACAATGCATTTTGAACAGATCAACTCATTTATATATATGAGAGCACAATTATATTAAAAAAGAATTGTCCCCTTTCATATTAATATAAACTATTGTTATGAGAACTGGTTAACAAAGAAAAAAATTAAGCAAGTATTCTTCATTTTCTATTAATTTTGCCATAAGTATCACCATAATAGCTGAGGAAATTTTTGTAATAAAAATATTCTGACAAACAAATAAAATAAAATAATAGCATTAGAATCTCACCTTTTTTTAATCTTCCAG